CCCACAGATTTTATGCATACCATTCAAATTCACAGTCAACACTGTTCGTCAATGTCTTTGTATGTTAGTTCAGTGGTTCTCAACTGTTTTTTCTTCAGGACACAGATTTTACTTTGGACATTAAGTGGCAAAACCAAAAATTGATTATTGTCCAAAGATCCTAAAAACCTGAAACCTGAACCCTTCCAACTTTTTGTTTTGATTTCCATTTAGGAGGTTCAAGCCTTAAATAGGGGGATCAAACCACATAATTTGCACCCTGTCCACATAAATGCCATATCAATCCTATAATTCCATAGTGATGATTTAGCATACAGTACATGTCCCCAAGCACATCCTTGCACAGATGAATGAGTGGTGAGTTTGTTGGTTTGACTGTGGACAATGACTGGCGGGCTCTCACAGACATGCTTCATAAACACTCACAGGAGCTACATGAATCACTGTTTGCTTTGGGTTTTCTTGTCTATTTGCTTGTCACTGCTCAAGTCTCTATTTAGTCATAAAAATTATAAACTGGTGAGCAAATGCACTGGAGCTGTTGAGAAGAAACAGTGTAAATTGTTTGCAGATGAATCTAGTCTGTTATAATTGCGGGTCCTGATCACTTTTCTGGGGTTCATTTTGCAATAATGACCGATTGTTTAACGAAAAATCAATTTCGTTGAAATATTGATTTGAGTTTAGCTTACTTTCAGAGAACACAGAGAAACATGAGAACAGCTATGCACACGTCAATCTCCTGAATGAGTGAGAATTACTCTTGGCATTCGTCAATATTCAGAAATATGCAGATGCTTATCTGCAATTGACCAATCAAAACCAAGTTTTTTCCCTCCACATTTCTACATTTTAATATATTTAAGGTTACATTTATTTGATAAAAACACATTAAAAACAGTAATATTGTGATTTTTTATTTTATTTTTTTTACAATTTCAGAAATCATTCTAATATGCTGATTTGCTGCTTATATCTTATTATCAACTTTGAAAACTGTTTTTGCAGCTTAATATTTTTGTGGAAACAGTGATACTACCATTCAAATGGTGGGGGCAAGAGTTAAAATAATAAGCAAATAAGTAAGTAAGTAAGTAAATAAATAAATACTTTTATTCAGCAAGGACGCATTGATCACTGAGCAAAACAGTAAAGACATTTATTATGTTACAAAGGATTTCAATTTCAAATAAATGCTGTTCTTTAAACTTTCTACTCATCAAAGAATCCTGAAAAATATGTATCTCGGTTTCCACAAAAAAATTAAGTAGCAAAACCTTTTAACATGGATAATAAGAAGAACAATTATTAACAATTGAGCACCAATGATAATAACTGAGCAGCAAATCAGCATATTAAAATGATTTCTGAAGTATATATATATATATATATATATTCCATTTTTTGAGTTACTGTAAAAATCTAGTAAAAATAGAGTAAAAATCTTCACAATGGGGGTTTAACAAAATGTCATAAATATCCTAATAAATTCAAAAATGAACTCTTCTCTATTCAGTGATTTTAATAGCATTTCTGGTCCAGTAATCACTGCATCTGGTAAACTGTGTGTTTCTGCTCAGCAAGAACACAAATGAAAGAGATCATTGGATAGCATTCTCTCTTATATATGTCTCTTATTTTGGCTGTGTTTCAGTCACTCACACACAGATGAGGCATGTCCTGTCCAGTGTCAAAGGAGGGCAGTGTGGTGTCAGTAGGGTGAGAATCAGACTGGCTACTGTGTGTCTACACACTCACAGTTTCCCAGCAATCCTCCCTCACTGCAGTCGCAGTCGGCCACAGGAATGCAGAAAATAAGTGATTCTCCAGCGTTCACATACACTCGTCTTCAAACACACACATGTATGAGGTTAAATGCCACGGCATACATGGAAATCACACTAGTCATGCAAGATGCATACTTGATGGGTCAATCGTTTATGGAGAAGGCCTGGGAATATTTACAGTGAAATCCGGTTGTTATTTGCATGTTGCCATTTGCTCCAAAACATTGTATCAATTATAATAACCTCATAAATATAGTGTAAGCCACTCTTTTAGGTATGTGAACCTCTTTGTCCTGTATCCCCTCAAAACACTGCAGGTTTGAAACCTTTTTGTTAAGAAATCCAAATTATTTACTATTGTTCATAGTATTACAGTAAAACTGTATAACACTTTAACCTTAACTTTAAAGATCATTGCCATAAAAATTTACAAAAAATGACATAAATAAAGATTCTAAAAGTCTTTTAAACCATGAAGGCCCACTCAAGTCCAACTCTTTATTTTCATTGTACAGGTTACTTTTTATA